ATGAATACAATAATACCTGCAGACAAAACTCGGCAGTTGTCCACTCCGTTCCAAATACTTGAGGATGAGAGAGTTGTCTTTTGCGTATTAGAAACATGGCCATGTCAAGGTGCTGACATTTCACAACACAACAACGACCTCAATATTAAAAAAAAAATGGCCACATACTCAAAGTGATCAATTCATAAATTTTTCGAAATAAAGCACGGTTCAAAAGTATTACCCTCGAGCTCATCCATGCAGTTTCATCTACAAGTTTGTAAAAAAAATCTGCCCCAACTACAAATGGTTCGAGCTCCAGCTCCGCACTACAAAAAAATAAACTTGCAAAGGTAAATTCAACCAAAAAAAAACTAATGGACACCTTGCATAATATGACAATGACACACACACGAACAATTAGCTACGTAGATATTGTTATTGTACATGACTGCATACATCAAAAAACATGTATATTGGTTTTGCCAAGTTACAAATCCTAACCTGATGTCACTTTTCCAAGCCTTGCAAACTTGTATCATAGCCTTCACATCGTCCATGGCCACGGGTTGTGTTGGATCAAAACAGGCCTCAGGTGTCTGTGCATGAAAACCAGTAGTCGGCCTCTTTTTCCTGGAGGGATCAGTGAATGGACTCAACAATGTTTTCGCGGGCCGCTTCAGTCTGCATCCTTTGCCTTCCGCATCTGGTTTCTGAACCGTGGCATTAGCCTCCTTGTCCCCTTCATCACCAACCAGATTTATACTAGTTTCCATGGGAGGCCTCGCCTTGCGTCCCACCCCCTGAATTTCTTTCTTATTCCAATCCTCTAACAAATTTAACATTGTTTTACAAATAACTCTGTACCTTTCCCTATCTTCCGGACTAGGAATGAGGGGATCTTCAAGACTAGGAACCTTCACATCTTCCGAAGTAGGAACCTTGTGAGGTTGTTGGTGCACTTGTTTGTCACCAACTGAAGTGTCAATTTCAGCGGCTTCAACTTCCATGGCTGGGAAGCCTTCCACAATATCAGCAGGGACTTCCGCTTCCCTTTTAGCCCCTTGTATATGCATGGCTGGAAAAGCTTCCACTCCATCAGCAGGGACTTCCGCTTCCCTTTCAGCCCCTTCCACTCCACCATAGACTGTTGCTTCCATTTCAGCCCGTTCTGTATGCATGTCAGGGAAGGCTTCCACTCCATCGCCTTCAACTTGTGCGTCCATTTTAGGCCCTGCTGTAGTCGGAGTAGTAAGTTCATTCAAGGGTGACATTTCATTCTGCCCTCCTTCATTCATCTGAGCAGTACACACTTCCTCATGCCCTTCTCCACCATATAATTTTTTTAACTCCTCCATCTCCAATTTAAAATAATGTTCCACTGAAGCAATTGTTAGGGTCAAATCCCGAATAGCCTTTTTATTTCTATCACACTCCTTCTCATGCTTCAAACAGTTCTTGTCTACAATAGCTTCCAAGTCACGAACTCTGTTCCTAAGGCCCCGATTTGAACTACGTAGCTTTGCTAACTCATCCTTAGTGCTTTCTAATTGATGCTTCAACCTGCCAAAGTCATTAAAAGACCCTTTGCCCTGCATAAAGTTATAATGCAACAGTTAGAAAGCTTACAAAAAATAAGAAAACTATTTCCACTTCTTTCGTATCGTATTCTCTACATTTTCACAACATTGGAAAAAGGTCATGCTCACCTTAGAAGAGGAGGGAAGGGTAGTTGTTTCCTCAACATCCGCCTCTTTTTCTTCACAAGAAGTGCTGGTTTTGTCTTCGCCCTCACCCCCAAACAATTGAACAATTTCTTCATTGTTCTCATCATCACCCCAACTCCAGTAAGGTTGTTGCTTCTCAATATTAGTCGGCCGGAGAAGTTGCACATCAACCTCCATTTGAAACACATCTAATAAATCAGTGAACTTTTTACTTGTTCCTAATCATAACCTGAGTAATACAAACTGAACTAACCTTAAAGTTTTCATAAACCTGACTCATAACCTCCCGAAAACGGGCCACCGTGTTGCTCCTCCAATGTAATATTCGAGGGATGTGCCTATTGTCTTCATGGACCGTGAAATGCAATGCTTCCAATGCTGGGAAGACTTCAAAAGCCCAAATCTGTTGACAACAATCAAACATCAAAATCTGTACATGTATTTAAATGAACTAAAACATTGTTGGATATGTGTTCACCTGAAGAGCGAAGCCAAACCCCCTTATGATGTACTCTGTGGCTCTATTGCATTCCATTCTTGTCTGCGCTCTCTTCTTCCCACGTTTGTTGGGCTTTTTTTTGTTTTGGGGCACCTTCACTCGTTGGTAATCAGGAGAAACTGCCCTCAAAAGTGAAGCATTTGTCATCGCATATGACACGGCACCCCATGGATACTTGTCAAACTCTTCTAAGTCTTCGGCCAATAAGCACATGCTTTTCAGTACCCAATAGCACAAAAATGGCAAAATAGACCATTCCAAGCTTTAACGCATCGTCACCATCTGTGCACTCGATGAAGGCAGCGTGTAGGTCCAAAAGGATGGGAGGTTTATTGCTATTGAAGTATTTCTGCTTCAAGGAGCAGTTTTCATTTGTCGCCTTCGGAATGAAAGGGAGCTTTCCGAACCTTAGGCCCGTGATGAGGCAAAAGTATTGGGCTGTGAATTGTATCAACTTGTTACCCACAATGAATTTTATCCCATTCACTTGTGTAACTGTCTTAGGATCAGCCTTCCTCATCAACAGCCCGTGGACAACTTGTGAATTCCACTTCAGGTCCTCTATCAGTAATAGATGACCAAAACAACTCCCCTCGAACCTCTGTAACTGCTGCGTATTGAACTTCGCCTTTATTGTTGTAATGGCGGTCCTTGCGTGTGAAAGGGCAAATGGCTTTCCTTCGTACTTCTCATCCTCAGGAATCATAAGCTTTGCTTTACAAGCCATTCTAGAGTTCCCTGCACAACAACATCATACATATGGATCATTGGTTACCCATATTTCATACGTACATTACTCAAACTAATACTTTCAAGCCATTTAATATATGTATATACATATGACAAAACCAGAATTGTTTTGAAGCCTCTTTTCTACTTTCCAACTTTCTCCACACTCTGCTATTATCTACATTCCCTTCTACAAAATCTATATTCGATTCCATCCAAAAACCAAATACCACCCAAGTGTGAAAACAATTTCATGAACCACGGATCCACTTCATACAGGGTTTTGGCGAAATGGCTACAACAATTACTCCAAATGCATCAATGCGTACTAAAATCTACTCATTACCATAGTCATATACATGTCTACTCATGTAGCACACATGGAACATCAGTATTGACAGTTATGGACTCTGTGTACAAACTAGACACGTCAAAATGTTACTGCAACTGCAACTGCTAAACCTAGCTGGATGAACATGAAATTTCTAAACAGATACTAAAGCCCAAGAAAATACCATTTTCAGACATATATGAAAAGCTGCAAGCAAGGACTAACAACAAAATTTAGCAGGTTTTATAGCACAGGGAAAAGAAACATCCCACGCCAACTTACATTAGTATTTCAAATTCACATAATTAACCATTAAGACTGGAAGGGTGCAAACTATGCTACTAGGTGCTGAAACAGCAATGATACCAACAAATTTACTTATGCATTATTACTCAACAGCTAATTTAGGGCCTAGTGAGGTAAACCTGTGTTATAATGGAATAGCCATTGCCACCAGAATAAATTCCCACACTAAATATGCATCATCAAATGGAAGTGAAAACACGCATCACAAACGAACCAATCCTAGATGATAAATACCAACTTAAGGCACTTCATCGTCCACAGAGCAAAATCAATACACCAATACAAGTTTCATCCAAGCATGAAATAATTCACAGTTAAAATACATTATTATTGCAATCTCTGTAATTACTAAACTTCACAACATCAGTAACAGGTTACCAACCTTAGAATCACTCGTTTTGTGCACATAACCGAATTGGAAATCCTAGCAACACCTACAGAAAATTGCGATTTTTGTCTCTGACAGGATTGAGCAGGAGGAGGAAGTATGTGAACAAAGTCTGAACCGAAACCAAGATTTAGGGTTTTTTGAGGCCCTGAAGGAGTAGAGGAGAAGAGAAAGACGTCGATTCAAGACATGAAAAGAGAGGAAACTGAGAAATCGTTTAAGGGAGAGAACATTTAATGAAGAAACCCTCTCTTTCACCGTCAATAACTGCCTCACCAAACCCTAACATTGACGACAGAGAGAGAACGAGAGAGTGCTGCTTAGGTTTTGGGGACAGAGGGAGACATAGAGTGGTGGTGGCCGCTGGAGAGAGAAAGCGCCGACAGAGGAAGAGACGACCGTCACAGAGAGCTGAGAAAGACAGAGAAGCCACACGTTAGTCTTATAACATCTTAGCAGACATACAAATAATACACAAAATACTTGCAAAAGGAACCATTCTTTCAGTAGACAAGTCTTCCACCTCTTTAACAAACTCTGTATATCACTCTATCTCAATGGGGCTCAAGAACTTTTGTGATTCAGTGCTTGACAGAAGCAGGGACCTATCCTATTTATAAAGAAATTTAGTTGGTGTAATTCTAATAGGATACTTCCATTACAATCCTATTAGAATTCAACTTAATCACCAAGTAATCGGATGACTATGTCCAACTTCTAATTATATTAGGACTTCAATGCTTAAATAAGAGATCTAAATCACATATGTATAAGCTTCAGAATACTTGTTCTAATTGTTCTTAGTATCTGTCTCAGAGTCCTAGCCAAGTTCAACCAGTGTGAGACCTTATAACAATTACAATTTCTTCCCGTATCTTACCATTGCTTGTATTATGTCCTTACATTGCAGTGGATGGCTCTCTGCCATCATTATTCTTTTCCTTTTGGCACTATATCCAGTTCTCACAAGGGGATGGCAAGTGTTGTTATCCCCCTAATTTTCCATACTCTCCACCTCTAGTCTCTCCTACTTTCTTAATCATGAGTGCACAACCAAATGTTGTTTCCTCAAAGGGTAGAAGTAGCCTTTCCTTTTCTCCCTTTGTAGTGCAAAAGGGTAGGTTTATGTTTAAGCTTGAGAAACTTGAAACTAGGATCTTTGCTATAGCCTTTGATTCTGGGGTTCAAGGGCATTATGAAAACTTTTGTTTGGTTGGGAAGGTGTTTGGTGCGTATGTACCTAGGAGAATTATTTGCAATAGATTTAAGAATGGCTGTAATGTTCTTCAAAGAGACTTTTCCATTGATCATATGGGAAGGGATTGGTTCAAAGTCGAACTTTCCTCTGAAGAAGACATTGATTATGTGCTTGAGAACAGGCCTTGGTTTGTTCAAGGCCATATTTTTCCTTTGAAGAGATGGACACTTGATTTCTCACCTTTTCATGCTTCTATTGAGTCTGTTGTTGGTTGGGCTCGTATTCCTTTCCTTCCCCTCCACTATAGGGATGTTGAGGTCTTACAAGATCTTGCCTTCATTCTAGGAACTCCCTTTAGAATTGATGAAGCATCCCTAATTGGAAATCCTTGAATGTTTGTTCGAGTCTGCCTTGAACTGGATCTCACCCATCCTTCGAAGAGATGCTTGGTTATTGGGGATGGAAATGTTGAAATTAGAAGCTTCATTAGCTATGAAGCCCTCTTTGAGATATGTTTTTATTGTGATCACAAGAAGAATAAGGATGAGGTTCATATTTGCCCTATGAAGGAGACTAACAGGAACTTCTTGAAGGTAGAGCGACTTGCAAATGAACTGTTGTTTTCCCTACTACTATGGCAGTGGATGAGGAGGTTCAAAGTGAGATGGCTGAGGATATTATTGCGATGTTCCCTCAACCTACAATTGTTGCTGGTGGAGAGAGTGATGCTCCCAATGTGAATCAAGAAGGTGAAAGTGATCCTGAATGGACTGTTGTGACTAGTAAAAAAGGTTAAGGAAAAGATAGTATGCATGATGGTCGGTCCTTTAGGGAGGTTGGTAGGGGTGTTAAAATTGGTGGTCCTTCTACTCAGTCCACTCATTCTAACCCTGAAAAGATGGTCCTTAGGAAGATGGATAAAGGGAAGGCTGTGATTGGCGAGTCTAGCCAACTTATGGAAGCTACTAGTGAGAATCAATTTCAAGCTTTTAGGAGCCTTACGAAAAGGTGAGAGAAGAAGTTGAGGAGGTACCAGAAGAGTCTGAGCCAAGTGTCGAGATCCTTGGTTTGTTTGACCCACACTCCAACACTATCGAACCTTGATCAATGAAGTTGATGGTCTAGAATAGCGGAAGTAGTTCCTCGCCTGGTTTTATTACCCAAGTTGTCTTTTTCATTTAGATATGCTTTGTATTTTGGACTCAAGAGCCTCTTTGTCTAAGGCTGAGTAAATTAGTTGGAAAATCCCCCTGGATTGCAACTTTTTTGTTCTTGCCCAAGGGAAGTGTGGGGGTTGTTGTTATTTTGGAATCCTACTTCAGTTAATTATAGTGTTTTGAAGTATCATGATCCTTTTATCCATTGCTCTATCCATGACATGATTGCTAGTAAAGATTGGTTGGCTACCTTTATCTATGCCTTTCCTCAGAAATAAAAACAACCGAGGCTTTGGGAGGAGATTCTCCTCCTAAAACCCTGTAATGCTGAACCTTGGGCTCTCTTAGGTGACTTCAATAATATCTACACCCTATCTGAAAACGTTGGTGGTATTCCTAACCTTCATCCATCGATGTATCGTTTTACCAAATTTATAAATGACTGTGGTCCTTGTTCTTTGCCAACTGAAGGTGTACCTTTCACTTGGTCTAACAAACATCAAGATAATTTTGTTACTTTTGAAAGACTTGATCTCATGATTGCTAACCCTAGCTGGCTCTCTTTATACCATAACCTTAAGTTAGAAAACCTGGCCTTCCAAAGATCTTATCATGGCCCAATTTGTTTGTGTTAGAATTGTAGGGGAAACAAAGTGATTTTATTAGATTGGAGGAGAATAGTACATGGTTTTGTGTAGGCTAATTGGCCTTCTTAGCATATTGGCTTATTGGCCACCACACTTGATTTAGAATAGTTTGAGTTATTTGGCCCTTCACTTAGATTTGTGAGCTTATTGGCTCCACAACATAGCTTTACTTGGGTAGCTCTTGGCTCCCTTAGTTTGGGAGTTCTTTTTTGTTGAACTCCACATAGATTGGGAGTTGGTGGATGACGCCACTCCATCTTGCTTTGTTGTATTGCATGCCTATTTATAGGCATTATTTTCCGACATAGCCCAAGTTCCACCTCCTTGGTCTTTTTATTTCCAGCCATAAGTATGTGGCTTTGCCTAGAAACTTCTTATATTATTGTGGCTATTGTTTTGCCATCATGCTCCACCTCCTTGTTCTTTTCTCCACAACTCTAGGTTCTTCCATCAATAGTGATTCTTCTAGAACCTTTTGGATCTTTTTGTCACAAATGGGCATTAGTATTTTCAACAGTTTGACTTGCTCACCCACCCCCAATCCTAATCCCTCTAGAGCTTTTAAATTTGAGGCTATTTGGTTCTACCATTCTAAACACACGATTGAAAGAATATTGAAGTCCTCTTAGTTGAGGCATAGAAAAGAACTCATCCAAGCCAGTACTCCCCTTGAGCACAATGGCTTGATTAGAGGTCTAGAATAAGCGTAAACTCATCAAACAAAGCATTCTACATCGCCTATACCAGGTTTATTGGGCTGATCTCACCCCCAATAGTGGCACGCTTACGCAAACTACAAATTGGGCTAGAAGAAGCAGGTCGCCAGGGCCCAGCCTGCGCTTTCCCGCTGTTTTCAACCTGATCCAACTTTCAATTTTGTTCAAAATTAGACAAGTCCTCTCGCGAGTTTAGGATCCAATCTGGGCATTGGTGTTGACGCAACCTTCTCCTTTCTCCCGCTCCATTCCCAAGAAGGATCGACGGGAGAAGAAAAGAAAAAGGTATCAACACTAGTCTATTCTTTATCAAATCCCTTGATTACAAATGAACAATAGGTACAAGAGTTGGTTTATAGGACCCAACTAAAAACTTACTAATTACAAATGAAGCCCCGAATAGTAGAATTTTACATCATGAATCTATGAATCCTAAGATTCATTTCACCTTTGACAATGAGCGTTCCTACCATATTACTAATTACCAATAATCTCTTGCACTATAATATCATGTTTTGGCTTTCTAAATCTGTTCACCTGTTTTGATTTTAATCCTGTGATGGCAAGATAAAGTTCCCCATTTGCTTGACAACCATTGGTGGTCAATAAGTCAACTTTCTTTTGTGTATGAGTGTGCCACTGCTAGCAATGAAAATCCTTGTAGAATTCTTAAAAATAAATAACTTGCGCCCCAAGTTATTGATTTCTAAAGAAGCGATTGTGAATTTGGGTGAGGAATATCTCCCAAGTTCTTTTCTTTGCCTCAGACTGGTGAGGACTTCATAATTTTTCACAATACAAAATGGGTAGTTCTGGCCAGAATAGACAAAAATAAGACAAACTGTTTTAGGCAAAACTGCTAGTCACAGGACTCAAAAACAAAATGACAACTCCGAAGCAAGACAAAAGGATGTTGGACATTCGATTTTTGCCTGGATAACTGCCTCTGAACCGGGCTGGATTGGATGTGTCTGTGCTAGACTGGATTGTCAACACATTCAACTGATGAGTTTCAACTGGAAATCAATAGCAACGTTTGAGTTTGGCAGAGCTTCAATTTATTTTGGGCCATGGAAGGCTTGCTGAACTGGCAGAATTGAGGCCTCTTCAATCTAGAGAGGGCAAAAGTGGCTGGATTAATGATCACTGAGCTAGAGCTGCATTATCGAGCATGTTCTGCTTGACCAAGGCTTTTTGTAAATTTGCTGAGGTTTTCATATTTGTAAATAAAAAAATCCAGACTCTGCTTGACTTGGCTTTGTGCTGAACCAAATTTGTAACGAAAGAAATCTCGCTTTGTAAAACTGTTTCTCTAAACTAAACCGAAATCAGAAACTTGAATTCTAGCTGACTTGTTTCTTGTGGCTAAATGAGCTTTGGTTACTTCAGTATTTGAAGGCTTTTGAGATCAATGGATCTTTTGAGTTTGTCAATTGTGGCTTTCAGAGTTTTTGTCTTGATTGATTTTTTTGACTGTCCTTTGTTCTGTTCACCTCCTCTCATATTTACAAATAAAATATATAAAAAAATGCTGGAGTGGGGCTTCTAATCTTTAAATAATGGAAGGCAGATTTTCCAAAAGAAAGATCTTTTATTTTAAATGCCAAGAAAAAAGGGGATTTTATCTATTCTGGCAGAAAAGCTATCAATAGTCAGTTCTTATGGTGATCACTTCCCTGCCTTTCCTGAAAGAAAACCTAATCCCTTCTTACTCTTTAACTGCCCTTTGTAAGAATGCAATCTGCCATGATGGTTAGTTTGCTTTTCTAATGAACAACTCCCTGCTCCCTACTTATCTCTTTAAAAAATGTAGTCTGTTTATCCCTTGGAAATGACATTTGCTCTGTTGCAGAATTTCTCTGTATATAGAAAGGAATTTTGATCTTTTGGCTGCAAAGATTCAAAGAAGTCTTCCTTTTATACATGCCTTCATTAACTCACTGTCAACTCCTCTGTGATAGTTTGAAATTTTTTACTTTTTCAAAGTCAAGTAGTCAAGTGGGGCTTTTATGGGAAAACATTCTTTTAGTGAGAAAAGATCTACTGACTTGCTTTTGAGATTAAGTGGCGAGATTTCTTCAGAAGCTAGGTTTAATCTAATTTCTTAGAGGTTTTGACCTGCTTGGTGATGAATTGTCATCTAATTGGCAATTTTAATGATTTATTTATTCATTTTTTGTGTTTTTAAGCCTCTGCCCTTTTTTCTTTTTCTTTTTTTTTTGAAAAATACATGGGCCTCCAATATTGATTGGGCTGCTTCCCTTTTCTTCAAAGCCCAAGATTGTTCATTTATCATGGTTTTGACAAATTCTGAGCTGGGCCTGCAGAATTTTGAGAAATTAGTCTGGACTTTCTCTATTTTGGGATGCTCTTTAATTTCTTTTAAACATCAAACCAAAGCTACGGCCAGACTATAATGAGGGGTAAGTTATAAGGGGTAAGTTATAAGGGGTTCACTTTATAGTCATTGGATCAATCCAAGGGCTGGGGAGAATTGGGATAAAGTTGTGCAATCGGGTAGGTGAGGAACCCAAACCCGAATTTAATATCCAGCAATGAAGTTGGTCCCAACAAAAAAAAAAAGAGAGGCAAGTTCGAAGTTTGAACAGAAAAAACCCATTGATCTCAAACTCATAGCTGAGAGAAACCGCTAAGCTCTGAGAAACGGTTGAAGGCAACGGGCAACGACGGTTGAAGGCAACGGGCAACGACGGTTGAAGGCAAAGGTTAACGACGGTTAAACGCAACTCCACTATCTAAACCGTGAAAAAGTATTTATTTTGAGTGGAAGGAGCAAAGGCGTGGATTCTGAAACAGTGAAGACGAAGCAGTGGAAGGGGAAGGAGAGAAGCCGTATTCGTTGGAAGTGATAGGTTCCATTTGTGGAGCAAAGCCGCACAAAGACCCAACACAGACACCTTGCGATTGTTCAATAACCAGCATTTGGTGAGTAATTTATGGAATTTGAGTTTAGGGTTAGAGTAACCGTTTTCCCCAATTTGTACCATGAATGTTGTTAGATTTGGCATCTCTTCTTTGTGCTTCACTTGCATGTTAATTTTTGCTTGGGTATATGTTAAAAAACGAATGAATATAAAGTCAATAACATGTCAATAATGATATGAATAAGGTAATGGTGTTGAATTGGAGGAGGCCCTCAAAACCTTCCACATTTGAAGCAGTGCAGAGTGCAGATTATCTCTCTGGAGCTAGAATATATATAATTTTTGAAATAAATATTATTTCCGTTGTTACTAAATTTGCCTGTTAAAAATG